AAGCCATGTTCCAGGGCATAGTTGTTCATAATGGGCTCAACATGAGTTTACCTCCCAGGACCCATCTGGTTACTGTCTCTGCTGAGTGCTCAATTTTCAAGCAACAGAAACTATTCTTAAGTTTCTAATAACATTGTATACTTTAGGAGAAATAGTGAAATGCCTAGAAGGTAGATTGTGTTGGGCAGGAAGAATTTAGTGAAACTTCATGAAGAAGGGTGGAAAACATTTAAAGACTAAATTTCTCAACCCAGGAAAAAAACCCATGCAAGTTTGTAAAAACTTGGAGAATGAGAGAGAGAGAAAGAGAAGAGGAACAAAAGAGTAGGCAGTATAATAGTTTGCATGCGGTCTTTTTACTATGAGAGTAAAGATACTCAAGAATTCAGAAGTAATCTGGGAAAAAAAGAGTTAAAATCTCTCTTGAAACCTGTACTGTCATATCCTGCTACCTTTTCCCATGGCTATAGGATAGGATCCACACATTATTGAGGTGGCATTACTATTAAATTAACATGAAGGATTGCATATTAGATGTTTGTATAGATCTATTCATATATGTACACATATGCATATCTGAAATGTACATATAAAGAATATACACATAAAGGTATATATAATATATATTATATATGCATATATGAATCACCACTCAAAATAGCAGACAGTAATTGAAGCAAAGCTACACACAATTTATTTAGTTCCAACTGAGAGAAAATTTAGGGAGATTTGTGGATGCTTTAGACAAAGAGTGATACATGAAGAGCAAGACTTTCACACATGTAAAAACCTTTTAACATGTCCAGGGCACCTGAGATACCACCTGAATATTGACAACCCAGAGCCTCTCCTGATGACTCAGTACATGTCAAGGTAAATCAAAATAGATGAAGTTTCACTTTGATATTGTTGCATAGTCCACGCCTTTAAATAAAGTTGACAAAATATATCTTTGTCATCTTTTCATTCTTTTGAAACTTCTGTCTACCTCAAGTCATTCTTTCCTAGCTCCCCATCATTTCTCATCTTTCTCTTGTCTCTGGGCATTTTGGATGCCCAAGAGCCCCTTATTTAGACTTGATCTCTTTGGTAGAATCTAATCTGGAATTTTCTCCCATATTACCACCCCCCCTCTTTTTGTAGAATTATTATCCAGATAAAGTCATTGGGGGAAAGAACCTACTAGGATGTTAACAATTGCCAAAACTTGAGTTTTTGAAGTGCTTTACATATGTTTTCTACCCAGTGAGTATGTTTCAGAGGAGCAAAGATGTACGAGATGGGTGAGGTGGCAAAGACACTTGAATGCAAATGAGCAATTTGATTTTGAGGGTAGAAGGAGATCAAGATTTTGTGTTAGGGAAAGAAGACACTCCTAAAAAAGAAGGAAAGATTGAACTGGGGAGAAATTTTATGACAGAATTCAGGCTTGAACTTCATCTCACAGGTAATTAAGAAGAATGTGAAAATTTTGTACACAGTGGGAATCATGTAGTCAAAATTTTTTTTTTGCAAATTACCATGAAATCTAAATTAAGTCTGCTTATTTTTTAAAAGTAGGGACTATGTTGGCTTTCATAAAAAAATCCTGTGTTAGGTCAAAAGGAAACTGAATTCTGGACTTTAAATTTGGGCTCTCTTTCTTCCTCTCTGCCTCTTGGTTTTATTCTTTCTATGAGGCAGACAAGACAGAGAATACAGCCCAAGAGTCCTATCAGTTCTGCAGCGCCAGTGAAAAGATGCGTTCTTCAACCACAGGTCTGGCAGGAAAGGCTCTGGGGGTCCATGGCATGGTCTCAGATTCTGTAGTAGTGGAGATTCACATGCTGAACAAACAAAACTACAGATATCTACTGGAAGATAATGATGGAAGAGCTACTAACAAGGTCATGGTGTTGTTGAAGTGTTGAATATAGGTGTGGTTGGAAACTGTTCAAAAGCCAGCCTGCTGAAAGGCAATATCCTTAATACACCTGTGAATGATGAGAGTATATTAGTGTCCTATTGCTGATTAATTATCTATTGCTAGTAAAGAATTACTCTTGGGATTAATGGCTTAATAGAGCACACAGGTATCATTTCACAGGGCTTATGGGCCGGGCAGATAGTGGGTTAGCTGAATCTTCTGGTTCTGGTCTCTCACAGGGCTATGATGCATACCAAGCAAGGGCTTGCTGTCTGATACACAGAGAAGTCAATATTATGGCATTGGGACTTTGAAAAAAGAAAAAAAAAACTTTATTGTGCGGTTAATTTCCAAGGAGGCCAAGAGCCAACAGTGAGAAGATCATAGAAAATGTTTCCTAGCAAAGCAGAAGATTAGGTTGTATCTAACTATGAGAAGGATGAATCACCATTCTTTAGGTTAGAAGTAAGTTACAGGGGCTTCTCACATTCAGAAGGAGGTGATTAAACAAGGGTGTGAATATGAGAAGGCAGGGATAACCAGGGATCATCTAGAATCTGCCATAGAAAGGTTGCCAAGGATGGTGTCAGTGAGAATAGAGAAGAGATTGAGGAATTACAGAGGTATTTAAAAAGAATAAATGGACTAGCTTTAGTACCTTGGAGATATAGGGGATGAAGTTGTGATGAATCTTTGGGGCTATAATTTTATATTTATCTTCTGCTGAGATAATATTTTGATTTTCCCTTTGCATATTATAACACAAATCTTCTGCCATTAACATTTTAAACTGTTTTCTAATTTTATTAAAAACATTTCAAATGGATGTTTTATGTTTAATTCTTTAAGTCTCAAATCCAGCGTAAGTCTTAGAATATTTATAATTTCTTTATCTATTGTATTATTTCCTAGGAGTGACCTTGTCTATGTCTTAATGATTTGACCTTTTTCTTAAATGTTGTGGTTGCCAAATCTATCTTTCCAGACAGTTTTTTCAAATGCCAAGTGAGTCTGTATCATAATCAAATTCTTACCTGTCTGCTCAGATGGAATGTTTTTCTTTTGCAGTTGGAGAAAATGTTAATTAACACATTAGGAATGTATTTGGTACATTTGGTTGCAAATGCAAACAGTCTAATCTTCTATTCATTAGAGCCCTTTGTCTGAATCATTCAAGTGAGTAACAGGTTGCACTGAGACATCACCAAAATGATTCAGTTTTCCTAAAAGTACTCTTTTTTGTTTTTCTGGGAAGAGTTATGTATTATAAATTACTCAAATTGCATTTCTACTGTATCACCATGGTAACTACTATGACAACACTTAAAAGGATGGCCATGTTAATTACTTTACTGAACAAGAGACTCTGGCCAAATTCTCTATAGTCAACTTAGCGGACAATGTTAGCAGCATCCACAGAAACCAAACATCATTGGAAATTTTGTGCTTTGGATCTTCATATTATGTCAGAGGACACCAGTCGGGGGAGCTGAGGATTAGTTTTCCCTTTTGGATTCCATTCCCGTTCCAGCCATCATTTATGTTTATATTTTGCCAAAGGAGTTTATCTTTTTTGCTCCTGGAGTTCATAGACGAAAAGACAGTAAGTGCCTACTAGGTGCTCAGTGCTATGATCTGATCTAATTTTCCCCACAGTTTGATGGCATAAGTTCTAATGTTTTTTCTTCTTAACAAATGGAAAATTGAGTACATTCCATCATTTATCTAAATAGATATTGACTGTTTTCTGTAAGCAACATGGACTAAACTGTACAAATAGAATTGATATTACTGAGATTTAAAACAAAGTCTACCTGACTCCAGAGCCCATGATTTTTATAATAAATGATTTTATCTCCAGTCTATCTTCCCTAGTCTTAAGATCTGACCTGACTATAGCAGGGAATTTTACATGGCTTTTGTATATGGGGGTAGGGAGAGAGAGAAAGACAGAGAGAGAGAGAGAGAGAGAGAGAGAGAGAGAGAGATGGATAAAGAAACAAAGAGTGAAGAGAGTCAGTAGGTGTATGTCTTGTGTGAAGGGCAGATCTTTCCATATCCACACTCAGGAAAGGGTGTTAGAATCTACACCACAAGGAAGCGGGATGCATGGTGTAAAATATTATCTACCATGGAAAATTACTATTTCTATATAAAAAAGTATACTTTTCTCTGTCTTTTACAAGGAGCAAAGACTTTGCAAGTACAATGATAAAAGCCACCAGAAATGCACCCCAGGGAGTTAATGAGTTAATTTCACATATAAAAATGACTTGTAGAAAATCGTAAAATCCACATTTGTAGGGAACTGAGGGCACCAGGATCAAAGATCAGACCAGGCACCCAGAATGAAAGGCTCAACATCATTTTGTGTTAGGACTTGGGATTCAGCAGGGAGCACAACCAGATAGAACCTCTGATATCACGGATTTCGCAATCTAGTGGTGGAAACGGACAATCAATAAAGTATCCCGCAAAGAAATGTGAAATTGCAACAAGTGTAAGAATTATGAAAGAAAGTCCATTGTGCTAAGAGAGGAGTAACCACTAGGGCCTGTCACAGTCTGGGGAGTCAGGGAAGGCTGCTCTCCAAAGTGGATTCTGAATTAAGATTCAAACCTATTTCATTTCCCTTCTCAGTATCTATTCTCCATCTCTACAAACGGTTCCACAATCCACTCATTTGACAAGTGAGAAATCAAGAACTCATTTCTGGCTTCTCTTTCTCCCTCATTTCCCATTCAATCATCAAAACCTAGCTCTCTGTCTCCAAAAATTATTTTTTCTTTGTCTATATGGATAGCCCTTGTCCATGCTACTAACCATCATCTTAATCTGGAATAACTCAAAAGCCTTACTCATTAATTATTTTTGCCTCAGCTCTTGCCATATTCATGACTCTGTCAATCACAATTCATTTTCCACAGTGCAGCCAAAGAAAGTCATCAAATTAAAAAATGTAATAGAGTCCAGAGTTGAGCCTCCTATGTTAAAGCCCTTGGTAGCTTCTCATTACCATTAAGATGAAATACAAACAGCTGAACATGACTAATAAGATATTTTATAATTTGAATATATCTCTGTAGTTTCTTACCTTGCTCCGGTCCCCTTCAGTTGCGATTAGTTTCTGAAAGAAATCCTGTTTTCTCTTCCTTCCATTCTATCCATCTATCTGGAACATTCTTCCTCATTCCTTCTCTCTGTCAACTCCAGCACCCAGCTATTTTTTAGTAATCCTTCAGGTCTTAGCTTTCTGATGTTACTTTCTGTTTAAAACTGAGCCCCTAAACAGGAGTGAGAGCTAACATAGCACCCCTAAAACTGGACCATAATTGCAAGTTTTCACTGGTATGAATCCCTTATAGATTGTGACTTCACTGGGGGCAGGAGCCATGTCTTTTCTTGATTGCCATTGTAACCCCAACATTTCAACCACCCCAGACTTGTTGTAACGGGGATCACTACATGTCTGTTGGAAGAAAAGGAGAAAGGGAGGAAGGGAGAGAAGGAAAGAGGAAAGAAGGAAGGAAGAAAAGGAAGACAGAAGGAATCCTTAGGGATGCCTCATTATTCTTTTCTTATTTAAATAGCTTTGGAATGATATGAGGGACTTTGCTTCTCTGCCCAGTGTAGCACAGCCTAACAAAACCGTCTGCAATAATAGGAATGTTCCTTATGTTTTCCTAATCAACATGACAGAATATAATTTCTGACATAGTTTTATTTAAATTTCAGTAGTACCTTTGGTTGGCTACTGTGTTGGATTATCGCAGGCCTAGAGAAGACCTGGTAGGATCTGCCTACCATGCTCCCTCTGCATGACCTTTCTGATTCTGCTCTCCTAGTGCTCAATGCTATGTTCTTCAACACAATTTCCCTAGCGTGTTTAGGAATTCCTCTAAACTTTCTTTGTTAGACAGGGCAGTAAAAGTCAAATAAATACAGCACATAGAATACTATTTACACTTTATTTGCAACAGCCTTAATGAGGGTCATTTCAATCTTGCAAATGCTGGTGAGTAATTCCTATTTGTACGAAGAGCTGTATTTTTCCCAAACATTCTCTATAAATGTAAAACAGTGAAGTAAACAAATAGCCTCTCAGACTATTATGCAGAATGCTCCAAAACAGCTAAAAAAAGCAACAAGGTTTAATTTGAACATGGCTTTTCATTCCTTTGGTGTACAGAGAAAAGAACAGGCTGCAGAACAGCCCAAGTTAGGCAGGAAGAGAGGCAGAGAGAAAAGCAGTAGAGAGAAAATGACTGCATGATCTCTGTCTCCTCACAAAGCTTAGTGACAATGGCTTGTCATGACAATCACCGTCATTAGAGTGCAGAGGAAAGAGCACTGGACTGGGAGTCAGAAGTCTTCTTTCACACTAAAATGACTTGCCTGGGCAAGCTATATACTTTTCTGAATCTCTGAATTTTTCTCTAAATGGGGGAAGAAATCCTCACCCTTATTTCCTGTTTTTTGCCAGTTTCAAAGGAAACAAAATATACAATATAAGTTGCTCTTACTGTTACATAAGAGGAGACAGTGTTAAAATTTCATCAGTCTCTGACTTCTAATAAAAATTTCAGGACAAGACATAAACAAGAATATTTTTTATTGTCTTAACAGCATACTTGCTATTTTGCCTAACTCAAGCCTACTTAACTTGTCCTGAAAATATTTTTTTCCCCCTAATCAGTATGTCTTGCAGGAAAACTTCTATTTCCACATTTATTATGGATCCTGGAAGTTCCATACAGCTAAATACCAAAGGCCAGATTATGTGCTGGCATGGTTAGTATGAAAGGGAGACAAGGGAGGTAACAGAGTATTGGAATTCAAAATAGGATGATGTCTGCAAAGAGAGCATATTTTGGGACCGCTTCTGTCTCCTTAGACTTCCATATTATATTAACTTTCCTCCCTAGGCAGATGTCTACTTACTCTTAAACATTATAGTCCAGTTCTTAGACCAAGGGTTTCTCTTTATCCTTAGAAGAAGTCATCCATTCAGTAATTTTAATTAAGTTCTCAATACATGCATCTCTGTGCTAGATACTTCATAAAAGGGAAGGCAAAGCTCTTAAGATGTCTACAGTCTAAATGTGGAACTCTCGTGCCTGCAGGTACCACAATGCCATAGCATGGTAGAGCAGGCTAGGGGGACCTAGGCTCTGACCAATATGTAATTTTATGACCCTAGCACTCTAGCAGCTATCCCCAGTACTATAATTGAAACAATCCATTTTAATGGTAATTCTACTTTAAATAGAAAGCATATTGACATTCTGTAGGAGAAAATTCTGATCCACAAATTTTATTTTCAGTTCAGTCGAAGCCGCCACAAAATGACAGCCTACAAACAAATTATACACGGAAGATCCCATTAGGTTGGATCAGACTAACTGAAACTTAATTACTCATAGGATATTATGTACTATATGGGATGATTAAAACCACTTCATAATGTAGTTCCATTAAGTAGATGTAGCATTATTAAAAAACCTCTATCTACAAATTACAACCCAAGTTAAATATTACCAGTTAGCATAAGTTGGTTCCAAAATTATCCCCACCTAATCAGCTGTGACCCATGTATACACAAACAGTTGCTTCCTGTGGCCATCTATCCACCCATGCATCTATTGATCAGAAAGAAACTTTGCTGTGGAGAAAGTACAAGGCATTTGACATTGCATAGGCCTGAGCTTGAATTCAGATCATTTAATAACAATTATGCCTTTAAGCCTCAGTTTCTCATTATGTGATTGAAGTGACTATGTAAAATACCTAATCAGTAAGTTATTATAGCATTGTAGAGCTTACTATTTGTTATAAGGGAAGTTCTTAGCTTGAAATTATCTAATCTTGGTTATGATGAGGATGTTAACCTCACATTATTCTTAGTTATTATTCAATATAACCAGCAATAAGCAGTTATTAAATTTGTCTTGAGAAATCCTTTCTGCTAAAGAGTGGTAATAATCTCATATACTCTATTATATAAAGGAGACACATACAAGCCATGTTCATTGTCACATCTCATGGAGTGCTTTGGTTTATTACATAATGTGGATCATAGGTAATTTTAGCCTGGTTAACATAATTGTGCTATGTAGACATTCTGACTTCTATTGTGCCAAATCATGTCTTGCCAAATAAGTTAAAGTATTTGAAAAGTAAGTGCTTATTTTAAAATAATAACATTTGGGGCAACTAAAAGTTGGAGAGGCTAGGCTTACTCTGATGAGTAGAAGCAGAAAGTGACAGCTTCCAGGACTGTCTCAGTATGTATCTTTTTGTTCATCAAAAACTTCTAGACAACTTAACTCATCCAAACTTGTCTTTTAAGAAGAAGCAAAGTAATGGGGGAAAAAATTGGAATTCAGTAGTTAGCATTCACTCAGGGTTAGCTCTGCTCACCCTAAGAAAGCCAAAGGCAATTGGTGTTGTTTGTACCTTTTTTAAATGTATACACACTCCAAACAAATCAATCTTTATCTAGAGGTGATACATATTTAACTCAGTCAAGATGTATGGTGGAGAATTGAAACTGGAATATGTAAATGGTTTAAGTTAACCTCAAGAGCCATTTTTGGGAAAAAAAAAAGCAACAAAGCAAAATGCCTTTCAGAATGGTTGGTGCATGGTACAAATCAGATAATTAATTTCATCCTCCAAGCATTGCCTGAGCCCCTACTGTGTGCCATATTCCATCTATCCTTGGTCAAAGAAAATGAGGACCTGGCTCTTGAGGGATCCATATATCAGTAGTAAAGGAATTCACTGAAAGGTATAGAGTCATGAGTTCCATACCACTGGAGTAAGCAATGGACAGCATATTCCATGATGGTCCCACATCCTAGTGACAGTGTAGCCATCCTAGTGACAGTGTAGCCATCTCAGTTCATGTAAGTGGACTCTATGTTGTTTCTACAGTGATAAAGCTGCCTAATGGTGCATCTGAGAATATATCCCCATCATTAAGCAACTTATTACTACTGTAAAGTGAATTTGATAAGTATGATGACAAAGGCACAACATACTGTGGCCTCAAATAGAAGGGAGGAACCACTCAGCTGCCTGGGCAAGGGGAGATCAATTTAAGAGAGTGCTTGGTCTTCTGGAGCATGGATAACTAGGGACTTAGAGGCTAATCTGTGCCAGGTTTGTGCTTAACCCTGAAATATTATCTGGATCTCAAGGTTTCTCACAATCAGTGGAGCAGAGCTTGGCACTAAAATAATAATACAAATCCTAGTTTTGCTATCCTTGAAGAAGAAGTTTTCTCTCATGAATTCTCATATTCACTTGTTCTTTCATCTTTCATCAAATATTTACAGAGTATTTATGGGATGCTAGGCATTAATAATAAAAGATATTCATTCTTTTCTCATGGAGTTCTGTATCTTGATCTATTTTCTGTTGCTATAATGATGCCACAGACTGGGTAATTCATAAAGAAAAGAAGTTTCTTTCATTCATAACTCTGAATACAACGAGTTCCAAAGGCACAGCCACAGTGTCTGATTAGGGCCTTCAATGTTGCATCATAATAAGGCAGAATATCACATATCAAGGGAAGGAGAGAGTGCTGCACAGAGCTCACTTTTATAATAAAGTAATTCCTGAGAGAACTAAACAGCTCCTGCAAAAAGAGGCTGAGCCTCTGTGTATATGGCTAAAAACTTTCCATGAGGCCCTATCTCCGGATGTTGTGCCTTGGAAGAGTTTTGGAGAGACATAATCAAGTCATAACATTATAATAAATGATAAAAAATAAATAATTTAATAGTTGGAAATAATTTAAGAACACAAACCCATAAACATGTTTTTTTTAAAAAAAAATTATAATACGATCTATGAAGCAAAAGAGAAATACCAAAGAAAATAGGTGAAGCTACTTTAGGCATCAGCATGCACCTTTCCAGGAACTTGTGTTTAACTTGAGGACTGAAGGGTGATGAAGAATAAAGAGTGAGAAGAATGAGGGCAGAAGTGTCAGGGAAAGTACTTCGGGGAGAAGGAAGAGGGTGTGCAGAGATACTGAGGGGGAAAGAACCTTGGCATCCTGAAGCTATTGAAGGGCAGCCAGTGAGGGTACTGCTGTAGTTTGGTAAAATGGAAGCATCACGGTCTCCTCACTCACAACTTTTCAAAATGTTCTCTGTTCAACTCAAGAGAGAGTTAGAGTAGAGTTATGAAAATAGTAGTAACACAAATAAGGTTATCCTAGTCTCCGCAGACACCAAGGAACCGGCAAAACCAGATAAAATGGGTGTGTCCATTGGAACATTGGCTTTCTTTGTCCCCTCCT